GAGGCAGCAGTGAGCAGGCCTAGTGGGAAGAAGGGGTTGTTATCCATCTGCCCACTCTCCTGTTGACCGAAGCTGACTCCAGAGGGCCAACTGGCCAGCAGGCTGAGCTGGGCCCCCAGCGGTGCCATGGCACCCCAGAGCCAGGCACTGAGAGGCTCTGGGGGGAGCCGCTGCCACGCGGGCAGGAAGGGCGAGTAGGTGACCAGCGGTTTGTAAGCTAGTTGGCTGGTGGGTGTAGTGGTAGAAGTTAGCTAGGGGGTGAGTTAACATGCTTCTTGCTGGGTGGGCTGGCAGGTAGCCCTTGGGTTGCAGGGGATGCTGACCCAGTCTGTGCAGAGCTTGCTGCTGGAGTTTGCGGTCTGTGTTCAGCTGCGCCACCTTCAAACAAAGGACCGGAGAGTGAAACCACCTCACAACAGCCGCCCACTGACAGAGAGACAACATGAGGCCAGCCGGACAGCAGCCTCAAAAGTTTCATGGTGAGGAAGGCCCAGGATGGGAGCCGAGGCCCTTGGGAGGGAGGAGGCACGGGGGTGCCAGTGTAAGTTCGGCAGTTACTTATTTCAGTGTGAACAGTGGGATGAAACTAACAAGCCAAGCATAAATGCAATTTGGGTGGGCGTGTCTCCCGACCCCCAGCACTGTTTCTACTTTGTTGGAAGCTTCAATCTGGCTGGACCCACGGGGGCTCTCCTCCACCCTGGCACAGTCAGGGGCACTGGTGCCTTCAAGTCTACGTCCTGTCTGCAGTGTTGTGGCGCCATCTAGTGGTGGATTCTGGAATGCACACCTCGACCAGCCAGGAGAGGGAGCTAGTCTTTCACGTGGAGGGATCTCCTGGGCTTTAAGAGTTAGGAAGACAGTAGCTGGGCCTGTGGCAGCCCGAGGTCTCTGCCCCTCACCTGACCCCCAGTATCTCACTCAATCCCACTGTCCCTGTTTCCTGGGTCCCAGGAGCTCATGGCCCAGCACTGTCTGCTCCCAGTAAGAGCTGAGTGGGGCCAGAAAGCCAAGAGCAAAGCGAGCAGGGATCCTGGATTCTGGGCCCCATGAGGGTCTGCCGAGGTGACCCTGACACTCCAGCCCTGCTGGCTACCCAGGCACCCCTGTCTGTCCAGCCAAAGACAGAGGAGCATGAGGATGCTGAGAAGTGGATGGACCTGCTGGGCGGGATCCTCTGGGGAAGTGGGCACCTCTGGACACACGCAATTCCCCCACCTGGAGCACAGGAGCCTCCACAGCCCCCAGAGTGGCCGCCTTCCCAGCCTGGAGTCCCCAACACCCTGGCTGGTGGCAATTTATTGGTGCTGGCTGTCCCTGAGATGATTTTTCTTGACATTCTTAATATTCTTCTGATCCATAAATAAAAAATGAGTAGTGGTGTTGAGAGAGTCCCCCAGGGAGGGAAAACAAATGGCCTGCCATGGCCCCTGCCCAGTTGCTGACCAGCCACACTGGGGATACGGCACGCGCAGGAGCGCGACCACCATCTTGGCCCCGGCCTCTGAGACGGGACTACCTGGGAGCACCTCATGGCACGGCCCTCCCAGGGCCTTCCTCTGGCCTTCACCTGCACCCCATTCCCAGGGCCCACCCCCAGGAAGCTCTCCACCCTGCAGGGCTGCCCACAGGCCTGGGACAGAAGCCGCCTGAGCCCAGTAGGTGTGTCCACCCACCTGGAGTGTGCCTGCCCTCTGGCCCTGGGAGGGGGTGGTCACTCTCCAGGCTGCCCCGTCCCTCCTGCAGTCACTGCCAGTGGATCTATCCATCCTCCCGGCTATGAGTTTAGGGACACCTCGGAGGTGCGAGACAACTTATGGGCCCCAACCGTGGTCGCTCTCTGCCTGTTACACACTCAGTGTAAGGAGGGTAACTTACCCCCCAAGCCCTTGCACGGGGTGTGAGCCAAGAATAGCCTGAAGGCCCAGGTTAAGAGGGGAACCCTTAGCCCAGGTTGCTCCAGAAAGCCTGCTGGGTCTAGGCACATGCAAGGAGTCTCTGAGGACTAGAGGGATAGAGTCTTAGCCAGAAGCCCAGGTCTGGGGGGCACAGAGATAAAACTTTCCCTGAGGGGCTGTGTCTGGCCCAGGGATCCCAAGTTTCATCTGCTGCAAACCTATTTTTCAGCTTTTGGGATGAGCGTGGGGCCTTGAGTGTCGGGGCCACGGTGAATCCAGGCAGGTGGGCTTGGCTCAGGGCAGGAAGGGTGTGGGCCTCCTGTCCCTTCCCCCTAGCCCACCCCCTGCTTAAGGGCTCCAGGCTCCCTGAGGCCACTGGGTGTCATGGCAACTTGGGCACAAGCAGCTCAGGTCGATGCAAACCCCTCTACCCTGATGCAAGACACAGGTGCTCTGCATACATTAGAACATTTGTCCCCATTCTTGGAAATGCCAATACAACTGTGGACCCGCCAGCACCCTCTCCCTCTGAAAGTACCCCCCAACCCTTCAGGCATTCTCCAGCTCGGAACCACTGGGGGTTAGGAAGGAAGAGTTTGGGGAAGTGGGGTCTTCAGGGCTGGACTTGAGTCTCCAGCTCTCCGAGACACAGCGTGGGAGTTGTCAGGCCAGGAAGCAGGGCTCCCCAGGGTCATGGGCAGTGGGCAGGGGCAGTGCGTAGGGCCCAGGCTCCTGTGTCATCGAGGTGCCCCAGGCCTCTCCTCAAACTTGCTGGGGATTGCCATGGCTTTGGGGCCTCTCAGCTCCGTCTGTGCGGCCATGGTGGGACGGGAGTCCCATCTGCTGCCCATTGCCCAGCAGTTCCCCTGTGTGGCAACTGCTGTTCTTGCTCTCTCTCCAGGGGAAGAAACCACCAGCCTCCATGAGGACTGCCTCTCTCCCCACGTGACATTCCAGGCTCCTACCAGCATCTGGCAGGCTCAGGGCACTGAGCGCAGCAAGCAGTCCCTACCCCACCCCCACTGTCCACCACCCCAGCCACCCAGGGCTTTTGGCCCACCCCTGCTCCTATGGCTGCTGAGCCCCAGATGCCCTCCCAAAGCCCTCTTTAGCCTCCACCTTGAGTTTGTCTGATGGGATACTCAGATGCATGAGATTCTGGAGAAGAACGGCATGGCCAGGGCCAGGGGAGGGCCCAGGGGCTCCTCCTCCTCCGGGCGGCTGAGCAGGTCCCCCACTGGTCAGGCGGTTCCAGTGGCAGCTTGTGCCTGAGCTACACTCCAGGCCCGTCCTTCCCCACTCACCCCCACGCAGAGCCTGTTGTTAAGTGCCAACGACGCTGCCCCCACCTTAGAGACACGGCAGGGATTCCTGGGGCCAGGGCCACATGTGTCCAGCCAGCCATGGCAGGTGGACCGTGTACCCGCCTCCCCTGTGGGTGAATGGCCTACACCAGCGGTCCCTGCAGTGTATCTCACCCCCACCACGGCAAACAGGACCGGAGAGAGACCCCTTTCAGAAGAGGGACTTCAATGAACTTATTTAGATGGGACCTGGAGGCTGGCTTAGCATGACAGCTTGTGTGTGAATGAGGCAGAGCGGAAAAGTGGGGCTGGCTAGGGGATAGCTTGGAGCCACCACCCAACACTTGTGAGGACAGCAGATGACAATGGTGGCTCGGGAAACCTCCCCAAGCCGTCCCCCAGTCCACATGCAGACCCGCAGTGAACACACGTTTGCTTGCCCAGAGTCTGGAGCCTGCCTTCCGGGGGGTCTGATAGGAGGCCGCGCAAGCCCCTGTCGGGGCGGAAACAGCTGTTCCCTCCTCCCTGTTCGCAGGAGGAGAAAAGCCAGACACTCGAGGACAGCGTCTGATGGGAAGTGCTGAGACCAAATAGGAAAAAATGAACCACGGAGAGAACAGGGGGAAAGTGAAAGAAGCGAGGCTCCCCTCCCCCACCCCCATTGTCCCTAAAACAGAACAAGATGCCCTGAGAAGAGGCACTGAAAGAACCATGGCGACGTCTCGTCAACTGAAAATGTGACTGAGAGCTCAAATTCAAAGGCCCGGCCACCAAGCCTGGCCTGCTCCGGCCGCGCCGTGGGCCCCCTCCCCCCCCCCCGCCGCCTCGAATTCCCGTGGGAACGCACCCTCTGAGTGATTCTCCCGCTCGCCCCAGCACCCAGCAAGTGAGAGATGCTCTCGGACCCAGGAGGGGTCTCCGGATCGAGACCCACTTGGCAGGCCACTCCCAAACCTGGTGGCTACAGCAAACACAGTTTAGCCCAGGGCTTGGCAAGAGGGCCTTCTTGGGCTTCCAGTTAAAATGACAGACGCCTCTCTCCCTGTGACCTCTGATGCCATTAGCAAGGCCTCCCCGCTGACGGCAGAGGGTCCCCAGAGCAGCAAGAGGGAGAAGTCAAGCCTCCAACTGCCAACACTTTATTACAAACCGTTGGCCCAAATGATTCCTCAGGCTGGCCCGGAGGCCAGGAGGAAGTTAGGGGCCCAGCCTCTGGATGTGGAGAGGGCAGAGTCACGTGGCAGAGGGGCAAGAACCCAGCAGAGGAGGTGTTGGCGGCTGTTCTACTTCGCAGGGACTCAAATTTCCCCTGGTCCACCTTTCTGAGAGTGTCCCTTGAGGATGTCCTTCCATGAAACCAGGGAGGGCACTGAGGAAGGGGGGTCGAGGAAACAGATGCCAGGAGTGGGGGTGGGGAAGGCATGGCCCATAGACAGCAGGATGAAGCCCTGAAAACGAGAGAGGAGAAACGAACCAGAATCTGGCGCCGCCAGATTTTCGTCTTCCCCTTGTGTCTGCATGACCCGTTTTCCACCTTAAGAAAGTAGATGCCGGGGGCACCTGAGGAAGATGAGGAAGGGGTGACCAGAGAAGGGTACTTCAAGAACAGGGATGTGGCGGGAGGGGCCCTGCCAGCTCCGGACCATTATGACCTCCCTGGCTGTGCCCAGGCCTTTGTGACAGGCACCCCCGTGGCAGACCTGGGAGCTGGGACACCTGGGGGCCCCTCAGTAAGAGGGTGGCAGGTCTGGCCAGGCCAGAGCCTGGACCTGGGGTCAGGAAGGGGTCACAGGGAAGTATGGAGGGACCAAAAACCCTGGGGCCCTGTGGCCTCTCCCACCCCCAATGCCCCCAACCTTCAACTTCAAGCAGCCACGGAGGATGCCTAGACTCACCCTGCCAGGGGTTTGTAAGCTGGTCCTGCCCAGGGCCTCTCAGCTCCACACACTCAGTGGAGTCTGCCAGGACCTTCCCAGCCCCAGGGCCAGGGGGCAGCGGGCCCAGGGGAGGTAGTGGGGTACCTGGGGGCTTTATTGCCAGTGAAGAAGGAGAGATGCAGAGCCAGAGAGCCAGAGAGCCAGCAGGGGTGAGACAAGGACAGATGGAGGCAGAGCTGGGCTGGGTCTGGCCCCTGCACTCAGGAAGGGGGCCAGGGTCACCCAGGCAGGGGGGAGCCCCCACTTCAGGGCCCAGACCCTGCCTGTGCCCTTACCTGCCACAGGGGGCAGTAACCCCAGCCTCACCCAGAGTAGCCTCCTCCCAGCTCCAGAGTGTGCCCCTGGGGCCTGGAGAACACTCCTTCCTCCAGCTGGAGCAGGAGAACCAGAATCTGGTGAGTGGGGCGCCCAGGCTGGCCCCAGGCTCTGTGCCCATGTGTGCAACGAGCTCACAGCCTTTCCTGGCCCTCCGAAGCCCTGGGTCTCGGGCTCCTGCCCAAGGAGCAGCCGTGACGGGCATCCCATCTCTCTGCCTCCCATCCCCAGAAAAGGCAGAACCAGGACCTTCGGGAGCAGCTGGGAGCCCTTCTGGGACTGGGGCAGCAGTTCCTGCCCCTGTGCCCGGAGCACTCAAGCCGAACAGCCCTCTCCTGGGTAAGCACAGGGCAGCACCTGGCCCACAGGGCTCCGGCTGCTGTCAGGACTGACCCCGTGAGCCACGTACCACACCCTTCACTTCTGCTCCTGAGGAGTCCGCGACCACAGACATTGTCCATGACCTTGAAGCTGACCCAGGGGCTCTTCTGCAGCCTCCTGAGCAGGCTGGTTCCAGGCCCCTGGAGGACAGAGCACCTTTGCAGCTGCTGCGGCGGGAGCTGTGCCGAGGCGAGGAGTCCTTCGTGCAGCAGTCCCAGGTGGGTGCCTGGGACCGACGGGGGCTGAAGGGCAGGGCGGGGCAGGGCCTCCCTGCAGCGGTCCAAGGTGGGTGGAGGAGGAAGAGGCTGACTACCCGCTGGCCCTGCCGGTGTCCATACTGTGCTCTCCCCCAGAATGAGCTACAGCAGATCCGACTGTCCTTTGAGAGGAAGAAGATGGCCATTACCGAGGTGCCTGCCTGGCCAGGAGTGGAGGGCGTGCTGGGCAACCCACAGGGAGGGGCACGTCCTGAGTGCATGACCTAGCCTTCCCCCAACCAGGTGTGGGATGGCGTGGCTGAGGTACACATGGCCCTGAACAACCAGGCCACCGGACTCCTGGTAGGTCCCCCAAAGAGCCATCCATGCCCAGAGGCTGAGGGAGGCAGGGAAGAAGAGGGGCGGGGGGAGCGGTGAGAGGCAGGGGAGCGTGGCAGGACCAGCAGGGATGGAGGACCCTCTGCCTCCTCTGCCCCCCAGAACCTCAAGAAGGATATCCGGGGCGTGCTAGACCAGATGGAAGACATTCAGCTGGAGATTCTGGGGTGATGTATGGGGTCAGGGGTGGCCTGACCAAGCTGGGAGGGGCAGGTGTCCTGTCAGGATGGGATAAACCAATCCCTAGCCCCTCCCCGGCTCCAGGGCACCAGACTGAGCCGGTGCAGGGAGTGCAGGTGGCCCTGACTCTGTAACTCCACCAGGGACCGTGCCCAGTGCCGCACCCAGGCAAGAAAGGACCTGTGTGTAGCAGTAAGCAGCCCCCCCCCCCCGCCAAGTTTCCCACCCTGGAGGCCCTGTTCTGGGGAGGGGAGAGGTGGGCTTCAATGGAAGAGGCCCCACAGTGAGAGGCCCACCTGGAGCCAGGTGACCAGAGTCACCGTGGGGGGGGGGGCCATATCCTGGGCAGCGGGAGCAGGGACACGAAACACCTGGACCCCTGCAGGGGCGCTGACCTGCCCCCCTCCCCCACAGAAGGCGAAGCCGCAGCTGGGATGTTCCGAAGGCCTCAAAGGCCAGCTCTGGTAGGTGGCTGCGTGAGCGTGCGGGTGAAGGCCAGTCCCCTGGGACCATCCCTCGGGCACCCCTGCCCCCTGACCACCACCGCCCGCAGGCTGCTGGCCCTGAGGCTGCTGCTGGGCACCCTGCTGGCCTGTACCGCCGCCTACGTGTACGTGGTGGACCCCACACCCTTCGAGGGGCTGGTGCCGCCCCTGCTGAGCCGCGCTGCCGTCTGGAAGCTCCGGGCCCTGCTGGGCCCGTTCCTGCACCTCGAAGTGGATGACTTCCTGCCCTTCTAGGCTGGAGGCCCAGCTGCCCCAGTGAGGAGGAGGCCAGGCGGCCAGCATGGCCCCGGGTGCCCAGCGGCCGAGCCAGCCCCTGTCCGCAGCACTGCTGGCACAGCGTCCCCACGAGCGCCTCGAAGAAGGGTGGAGGAGGGTCTGTCCTGAGGGCTGGGCCTGCAGCTGGACATACAGTAGTGAAACGTACAGCGTCTGAGACTGTCTCCGTGGAGCTGGGGACAGGGAGCTTGCTGCATCCTGAGGCTGACCTTGAAGTGGGTGGGGGTCCTGCAGGGTGGCAGCCCCTCCCCAAGAAGCCCCCAGCCTGCCCCCGGCACCAAGAGGGCTCTGAGCAGAGGGTTTGCCGGGGGAGTCTCCACTGTCCATGGGGACAGAGATCCTCTCCTTGCCCCCACGGGCCCAGTGCTCAGCCTGAACCTCACACCATCACGTAAGCGGAGGTCTCTGTCTAGCCAGCTCCCTCGCCCTCCCCACCCCTCAGTCCCCAGCCATCCCCACCGTCTGAGCCCACTCCTGTGGCCTTGTCAGCCCAGGGCCCTGTCCAGTCCAACCTCCCGGCACACACCAAAGCCTGGAGGACGGGGGACCACATTGTTGGAGAGAGCTGTGGAGATGAACACCAAAAATTTTATTTAGGGCATTATATTGGGGTAGAGAATTCCTTCTAAAACAATAGAGAATAGCTCTGTGGCTTGCTCACCCCCACGTGGGAGAAACAGAGCTGCTGCTCCAGCAGGAAAGGGCGGGCTGGGACCCCGCCCTCTCCCTGGGGGCATCCGGGCCCAGCTGGCTGAGGACTAGAGAGCCCCACCCCAGCGCCCCCAAGCACCCCCAGTGCATGTCTCCAAGTGAAGAGTGGCGGCTGCTGGGCAGCAGCTGGGCAGCAGCTGGGCAGCTGGTTCTCCTCCGGCCCTGGCAGGGCCTGGACGGCTCAGCAGGCTGGTGGCTCCGGTTAAGGCATCTGTGCTGGGGTCAGGGAGGGGGATGGAGTGCAGTGACCTGCGGGGGCAACCTGAGACCCCCACCCCAGCCTTACCACAGAGGCCTGGGCTTCCTGAAGAGGAAGTGGCGTCTAAAGTGCTTGGTCAAGCAGGGAGGTCAAGGTGATGGCTTGACACCTTGGGAAGGCCATGCTGGTCCCAGCAGATCCAGGGCCCCTGCCTGGGGCACTGGGCCCCCTGCAGCAGATGGGAACTTCCTGAGGTGGGCACACAGTCACAGGCCCCAGTGGGCTGGGAGTCAGTCAAGGTTTGGCTGAGAGAGAGGGGACCTTCAGCCAACACCCCAGGGTCCGTGGCAGCCTGGCCTCCCAACCATCTTGGGCTGGGCTGTCCCAGGCCCCACGGGTGCCTACTTGGCACCCCGCTCAGGCCCCGAGAGGCTGGGGAAAAGGCTGGAGGCAGCCAAGTGCAGGCGGCACACAGCTCCTCGCGGGGGCACCCCAGCAGCCGGGCTCCAGGGGACCTGCAGTAGTGGGCGGTCCTCAGGGAGGCCCAGGTGGCACAGGTGCAGGCTGGGGGGCACCCTGGACGGGCCACGACGCCCCCATCCACGACTACAAGTGCCGATCCGCCCCCTGTGGGCCGCAGCGTCCCATGAGAGAGAAGCAGAAAGGTGGAGATCAGCCTGGGGCACAGCTGCCCAGTGCGGGGGTCCAAGGTCCAGGGCACCTCCCACAGTGGGCCAACCCCTGCCCCCCAGCCTCTGCTGTCTCAGTCCCCAAAAGCTGTGCATTGCCAATGCCTCCACTCCACACATGTAACAGGCAGAGGTGGGCGGGCCAAAAGCAGCTGCAGAACTCAGCAACAGCCCACAGGGTCCCAGCCAGCGGGTGGCCCCGTGTATACCCCCTCCTCCATCTCCTGCAAGCCCTTGGGTTCCCGGGGGCCCCTGGGGCAGCTGGAGCCCCAGCCTCTCTCCAAAAGCCCTGTTACTGCCAGGAATGACGCAGACCCCCGGGAAGCCGCATGCTTGTCCGCCAAAGACCTGTGGGCCAGCCCCTGCCTCCCAGGCTTTCAACTCGGCCTAAGTCAGCAAAAATGCCCACACGGACGAGTGATCCCTGCTGCCAGCCACCACCTCTCCCAGAGCCCGGCTGGCTCTGCCCCCCACCCCAGAGCCCCTGAGTATCAGCAACAGCCCTGGCCTTGCTCAAGGAAAGGATCAAAATGACTCTTTTTCTTTTTTTAATAAAATTATAGATATATAGATGTAGATATAAAAACATAAAACAGACACAACGCAAGCAGACGCTGCTGTGTGCTTACTCTCGGGCCCCTGGCACCAGGCAGAGCTCTGACCCCCTCCCCATGTGCTTCCCACGCAGGCACCGAGGCTCTGGCTCCCCGACTCTGCATGCCTTGGGGTAGGGAATCTCGTTTGGCAGGGAAGGGACTCCTGGTCTCAGAGGCCCCTGCAGCAGTGTCCAGCCTGTGCCTGCTCCGCCTGCCCCCATTGCCACCCACAAGAGCATAAAGCAGAGGTTAAGGCTTCAATGACAGCGAGTTTCCCGGCAGTGGGGGCAGCGGGGGCCTGAGCTTTAACACATGGGACATGGCATGGCAGCTCAGCGCACAGACACAGGGACACGCCCACCGGCTGGGCGAGACAGGACACGTGGAGCCGGGACCCCTCCCACAGCTGGCAGTCTGTCCGTCTGTCCGTCCCCCTGTCCATCAGAACCCAGAGGAGCCCCAGAGCTGGGTGCCTGGGGGCTGGGGCTGGGCTCCCCACAGAAGAATTGGCCTCACCAAACTAGAAGTTTCCAGCGGGTCCCTGAAAGGCAGCAGGTTGGGATTAGCCAGGCAGCAGGCCCTCAGTCCGGAGGGTGGCCGGGGACCCAGGCCCCTCTGTCCATGTCTGGGCCACCGTGACCCATCTATAAGGGGAGGGGTGGGGGCTGGCCTGGTGGCCACCTCAGGACATGGATGCAGTCCACACAGATGCGGTCCGCGCCCACTCGAGGCCCAGCTGTGGAAGCAGGGGCACCAACACAGATCTGCGGCCTGACCGCGCCCCGGTGTGCAGACAGCAGACAGACAGGTGGAATACGAGGGGCAGACTCGTGGAGGCATGGTTCTCGCTCCTGCTGATGAGTCCACACCAGGCCTGTGCCGCCGCCTCTGTCAGGGCAGAGCAGTCGGGGGGTGGGGGCAGCCGCTGGGGGGTCCTGGTCCCCGTGGTGCCACAGCAGGTGGGTGGCAGTCACTCCTCACACCGAGATCTCGTACGTGGTCCCACCCACGCCAGACACCTTCTTAACAAGCGTGTGCCGGGCAGGGCTGGTGGAGGGCCCCGGGGGGCCAGCAGCAGGGCCCAGGCGGGCCAGGCCCGGGGACTGCCCATTAAGCTTACTTGGGGGGGTCTTCAGCTGAGGGTGGTCCCTGCATCAAAGCAAACACATACATGCACACACACAGTGAACAAGGGACCACGGCAGGACAGAGGCCAATGAAGGCAACGGGACAGACAATGCAGACAGAGCCCGGGGTGGCCCACGCCACTGAGCTCAGGAGGTGCCGCCCAGAAGACAGGGCTGCACCCAACCTGCAGGGGGAGGGCTGTGCTGTGTCAGGACAGGCATCAAAACAGCTGTCACACCCCTAGGTCCCTTGGCAAGACCACAGTATAGGGAGGCCAGCTGAGCCCCTGGTTCTGCCTGGTCCTGATACCCTAAGCTGGGGAGCCCAGTGATAACTGTGTGGCCCCTTCCCTGTTCCCCCCGAGGAAAACGAGGGGCCGCCCTCCTGGCCGAATGCCTTCCTAGCAATGACCTCGCTGCCTCGTCAGGAGGGAGACATCTCTGCCTCTGCACAGCCACCCCTGCTGGACCTGCTGCCCCCACAGCAGAGACCCCCTGACCCGGCCTAAGCTCGAGGCAGCCGAGGCGGTGCCGACGCTGTGCCCAGGGCAGGGCACGGCACGCACAGGGGGGCGCTCAATTCTTGAGCTTGGACCTGACCTCCCAGGCAGCCGGTCTGCATCCTCAGTTACCTACCCGCTGAGGGCTTGGGACCAGCCTGCCCCTCGGGACCCAGTTTCTGCATCTCTGAGCGGGGAAGCCCCTGCTCCCAGGGGCTGTGTGCCCTACCCATGTATTGAAGGGTGCTGTCCTCGGCCTCCTGAGGAAGAAGGCCTAGGGCCCCTACCCACGGGTCTATGCTGAGGGCATGTGGGACATCAGGCTAGGACGCAAGTCCTCCCACACCTTGGGACATGCCAGGGCACCCTTCGAAGGGTGCAACCCTCATGCGGCCGGCCAGGAGCCTGCAAGGTGGGGAAGGGCCACCCCACAGGCCACGTCAGGCCTTGCAGACAACCCACACTTGCTTAGCCAAGTGGCCCCACAGACAGAGGGACACCTGCCCCCTGCCAGGAAGCCTGTGGCACCCCAGCACCCACCTCTGCACAGCCAGCGAGGGCGGTGGTTCCGGGAGGTCCGTGTGGATGAAGGCAACGGCTTTGGGGCCCAGGTAGGAAGGCGAGCGGGGAGTGCTGGGTGGGGAGGGCGGGCCCTGGCGCAGGGGAGACCTGTGGGAGCCGCTGCCCGGCCGGGGTCCCGGGGCATTGTTGTTGACCAGGTCCGCCTGCAGGGAGGACGAGGAGGTCCTCGGTGCCCGGCTGACCGCACTGGACAGCGAGGACAGCGACGTCTGTAGTGCAGGGTTTCGGGCGCCTCCGAAGCCAGGCCCAGACACCAGATCGTCTCTGGAGCCGTAGCGCAGCGTGGCGCCCCGGGGGCCCTCGGACAGCACGCTGGCCTGCTGCAGGCTGTAGGAGCTGGGCGCGTCGTAGACGCCGGAGTCGCCGAAGAGAGAATCAGCCTGAGACCGCAGCAGCCGCTCACGCTCCTCCCTATCCTTGCGCTCCTGGATGGAGGCCATGATGGTCCTGGAGAGGTTGTCGTAGCGCACGGGCGAGGGCTCCCGTGGCCGTGGGCCAAGCACGGGGCTGAAGCTGCGGGGCGGGGGCTGCGGAGGGTCTCCCGCAGTGCCAGG